TTATTTAAATGTCAAATGCAAGGATTATTACTATTCATCATAAATAGCTGTTCTTTCACTTGCGAGTCCATACGAGTGAAGAACAGAGAGGTGTTTTGAAATTTACGGGCATTAGAACTGAGACCCTGTCTTTGCCTTATCTGCACACTCGAGGGACCCTTCATAAAGGGGGTGATAGTTGATGAACAGGCATGGGAACCCCAGCTGATTTTCCCTCCCACCACCTCAGGGAAAATGAGGCCAATTGCACTGCTCTGCTTGACCCCCTCCCCCCGAGGTTTTTTCATTATATGTGATGTGCTTAACATTGAATCTCTGTGTGACGTGCAGTAGGAATATAGCAGAAAGGTTAAACAAATTGGGGTAAATTAACAAAACAAGTGGATTTGATGTGGATCAATGATGTTCTACCCAAAAGCATTACAAATTATTTTATCACACAGGGACAGAATGCTTAATAAGTGGTTTGGGGATGAAATCCCTTCCTTCTCCATCCTCGCACCCCCCCCCCCCCACTCCCACCTTCAAACTGCAGAACTGAATTTTTTTTAAACCTGTCAAGTTTTATCTACTAGAATGCCCTTTTATCTTAAAATCCTTTTTGAATTTTTAGGCTAATTGGCACTCCTCCGGCCCATTTTCAGATCCTTAAGATCACTTGACTCTTGTGAAAAATCTTGAATCATGGTCTCGGGAAGCACAAATGTTAAACATTTTTGTTCCCTGAAAGCCTTTCCCCACTTATAATTTAGAACATGGCTGGCTCTTTGGCATCAGTTTTACTGTTGGAATGTCATTGTGTTATGCATGAGCACAGTTTATAAGACTATTTAGAGTAAACCTGCTGTTTGGGTGCAGTGTAACTCTACAAATTATGCAGAGGACCCAAGGATGCAACCAAAATGCAATAAGAATGTCCCATGTTTCTCGCAAGCAGCTATCTTTTGTCTTGTGTCTTCCTTGCACCAGTCTTGTGCATACAAAACTAAAAGCCTGAACTAGAACAATGCTAGCATCTCTAATTTAATACAGCCACAGCTTATTTTAAGTGAACACATCAGAACCACTGCATTTGCAACTGGAAACTGCCCTGAGCATAGAATAATTGGCAAGGCCGAGTAATTCATGACAATTCAGAAACCATTTTGCCGAGTAAACTTGTGAACTTTGAAAATCACAAAATAGAATCACCTTGGAGACAAACAGTCTATAGTGGGGTCATTTTTGGTGTTTTGAGTAAAAAGGCGGATGCTTTCGGAATGGGAGTCAGACTGTCACTTTTAAACCAGTTACAAGAGTGTGTCAGAGCTCTCGCCTTTTGAGTGTTCATCAATCAGTTTCCATGTGTAATTATACTTGTTCTGATCATCTTAAAGATTTCATATCATTAATAATAACAACCCTTATGTTTAATCTTGTGTCTTTTGGTCGGGAGGATGTCTCAAAGCACATCAAAGGATATACTGTTACAGTGATTGTGCATTTTGTGGACGAACACGGTAGCCAATTTGAGCATGGCAATGATGTGTAATACTGATTGTAATACAATATTCACCCACAAAATATACAATTAACTCACTTCACAGTATATTCTGTGAAGTGCTTCGAGACGTCTCGAAGACATCATAAAACTCTATATCAAATGCAAGGATTATTATTAATATATTGTACAGTGTATGTGAAAAACTTCTATCTCCTCAGCCCCATTTTCATGGCAAAGTATTATTCCAAGTTACTTAAAAAGTAAATTAATGGAACAGGTTAATAGGGTGCCAGTAATAAATAACTGGGGTTTGATGTACCGGGTGCAATATCACAGTAGATGTCAGGCAGAGGGGTGGACCATTGCCTATTGAATAATGGATGGCCAGAGTGAATTAGGAGCATGAGCAGCCAGCAGATAAGCCCAGAAATCTGTGAGGTACCCCCGATGTGTGATCTAATCTATCCTGTGGCCATCTGCTACATTGTGTGTTGTAGATAAGACATTCATTTCTCCCCTTTATTCCAATTTCACAGTTATTATTGAGCAAGGTAACAACATAGAAGCTGATTCTGTGTAGACTGAGAACAGTGAATGCGTTATATAGCAGGAGTGACATTACAAGGAAAGCCTTGTGTTCTGATACTAAAATATGGAGTTTTTAGGGGTGTTAGTTTGAGAAAATATTAAGATGAATATAATCCGCCATTGTGTTTATCTGATATATGGCTGCTTAAGATTCCTTTTGCACCTGCTGAGCAATTTTTGACCAATGGCAAAATGTAAATATATTTTGACCAATGGCAAAAAAGTTGGAGCCAGAGTATTTGTAAAACAGTTCCATTCAGGAGCAAAAATAAGTAATCATGTTCTCTATATAAAAGCAGTGTGGAAGACGACATGAACCCAGAACAGAGGACTCAGGATCAGAATTATAAATAGTGAATTTTAGGACAAAAGGAAGCATTTCTTTACACAGAGGGTTATCAGGAAGAATGATTGAGGCCAGGACTCCCCTCTCTTTATCTTTCTCTCTCTCTTATCTCTCTCACCCTCTCTCTTATCTCTCTCTCTCCCTCGCCCACCCTCACTTTCCCCTCCCCCCTCCCAAACCCACATCTCTCTCTCTCTCTCCACTTTCTCATTTTCTAACATTGTCTCCTCTCTCTGAGTATCCTTTTTTGAGTCACTTCCCCTTCTCTCCCTCCAAAATCTCTTTCTCTCTCTCTCTCCCCCTCCCTCTTTGTTTTTTCTCTCACTGTCTCTTTCTCTGCATATCATTACTTATGTTTCTCTCCCTGTTTCTAACCCAACACTGCAGTTTCCTAAATAAATACTACTTTCCCGCTGCCAGCTTACATTGCACATTGAAATAAGTCTTCTAACCTCGAGTGCAAACACACAAATGGATTTTATTTTGTTGGTATCTTACAACCCCACATTCACTTCCAGATGGGAGCTCAATGTGGCTAATAATAATCCTTGCATTTGATACAACATCTTATCACATCGTTGAGACGTTTCTAAGGGCTTGACAGGAAACGCTGTAAAATGAATTGACTGTGTATTTTGTGGGCTGATTACATGCACAAGGACATGCAGATTTTAACAAATGGGGCAAAGTATTGCAAACTTAAATGCTTGTGTAGTTGAGTTTTGCCCAAGCACAGATTGAACAGAACTTGCTCATTTGTCACCTCCTTGGTCGTTCTCCAAGTGAGCTTTGGTGCCCTCTAATGGAAATAATCGAAAATTTCACTGTAGAAATTTTTTGATGTAGAAATTCGAATCAATCAGCTCGCAGTCTATTGAGGTTTTCTAGTTGTGTTTCTTTGTTCTGTAAATTTGGGGATTTTCCTGTTTGAACCAATACTATTCATCTGGAAGATACATTTCACATTTAGGTGTTTTCCACAATACAATACAATTTTCATTTATGTAGTCTTTCATGTTAAGAGGATGTCCCAAATCGCTGGACAGTCTTAAGGTTTGTACTCGAGCTGGGGGTGGGGCGAGATGGCTGAAAGCGTGGTCAAAGAAAAAGGGAGGCAGATCTTGAAGGATGCAAGGGAAGGGGCAAGTCAAAGGGACTCTTGGATGGAATTCGAGAGAGTGGGGCAGCAACACTGAAAGCACACTGATGGTGGGCCAGTGTCTCCAGAGTGGAGGGAGCAGACAAGTTGGAAGGGTTTGAGGAGAAGACAATGGAGGCAGTTAAAGATTAGAGCTTAATTTGATGGGTGAGGATGGGGGAGAAACCTAGTATGGGAAGGGACACGAGTTGCAGACTTCTGGATAGTCTGCAGCTTGTGGAGGGAAGAGGCGGATAGTTCAGCGAGCAGACAGTTGATGTAATTTAACCTGGGCATGATGAACATATGGATTAGGGATTCAATAGCCCAAGAGGAGAGGTAATGGCAGAGATGGACAATTTTATAGAGGTGGGGGAAAGCTGAGCGGGTCAGAGCATGGATGTAAGGTTGAAAGGACAGCTGACATTCAAACAAGACACTGAAGTTCTCCACAGGCTCTGTGAGCTGAAGTGTGCATCCAAGTAGATTGATGCTGTCAGCGTCTGTGGTAAGAAAGCGCTGATGGGAGCTAAGCAGGAAAACCTCTGCCTTGCCTACGTTCAATTGAAGAAAGATGGAGCTCATCCAGGACTGAATGCCCAACAGGCAATCAATCAGAGCAGTAGTGGTCCTGGAATTCCAACGTCGAGAAGACTTGAAAAAGCGCTACATCAAATGCAAGGATTATTATTATTATTAATCTATAGGAACCTGCAAAAGAAGACCTGGAGGTAATTTAGAATAGTCTCAAATGAATACTGTACTCTTTAAAATCATGGACTCTTTGGGCTTTTAAATTGTCTCCATCGACTGCTTCACATTATCCCATTGTAGATTGGTTATTCTCTTTTAAAAGGTCAAGTAAGCCATTGAGGATTGGATGATTTTTACGATGTGATAAATCCCATTAACCACCACATCAGGATGATATTATGTGCTGATTTTCTTTTCCCTTTATCTTTGCTCGATGAAGTGAAATGGTTTGTTGCAGTCTTTAAAAAGTCTCCAGTTGAATTATGCACCTTGTATTTTACAGGATGATGGGGAGGAAATGCAGGCAGTGAATGCCATTGGTTCAACAGTTTGTGGGGTGAAAACATAGGAGTTGAAAATGGGATATTCGCAAACTGGATGAAGCAGGAATAATTACTAAACTTGCTTTAATAGCGACCATGAAGCCTAGCAAAGGCTGTTTATGGCTGGTATTTTACTTTTCGATCTATTGCTTGATGTTTTTTTCTTCTTGGATGAGAAATTGGCTCAAAGCAAATTGATCACACATAGCCTGTGTAATAATTTTCTAGTTTGCAAATAGCATTTTCAACCCACTAATGCAATGTTTGTCTTTCTCCTCCACTTCCCTACACACAAAGTGGTTAGTTGTACTCATAACTTAGAGCTTAAAACCATTGTCATCTTTTTCTTTCTATTTTTCCCCCATTTAGATGCTACAACTGTGGCGGCCTTGACCATCATGCTAAGGAATGTAATCTACCTCCTCAGCCAAAGAAGTGCCATTACTGCCAGAGCATTATGCACATGGTAGCCAACTGTCCCCTCAAAACTGTTCCACCACAGCCCAGTAGCTCTCAGGGAAGATATGAAGCAGATTCCCAACCTTCCACCTCTGCCTATGCTGCTTTCCCTAGAGAAACTGGAGGGACCCAAAGCTTCCCAGCTCTGTTTCATCCTCAGGAGGGAAAACCAGAGGTTGAGCACTCTGGCAAGTCATCTGTTGAAGCTTCGTCAAGCAAATCATCTATGTCCCCTGAAGAACCAAGCAGAAAGGGGCCTTCCATTCAGAAACGGAAAAAAACATAAAGGCATTCGATAAGCCCGCTTCTTGAATTCCACACTCTTTGTATTTTGAATATAGGATCCCAAACTACCTCAATGCTTGCAAAAGTACAGGGGAAGTCATTTTACACAATGCAGCTCCTCTTTTTTTGGAAAAAAAACAAAAACAAAAAAAAATCCACTGAATTAACAAAATGTTGTCGAACCGAACAATTCACTCCATGCAAAGAATTACTCCTGGATTATGTTTGCGCACATCCACAGTGCTCTACTTTTACCTTTATATGCAGAAACAAAACTCTTTACGGAGTCTAGTGAAACATGGCACACACGTTTACAGTGTCAACTCGCCATGTTTAATTCAAGTAGCTTTTCTAATCTTTTATAACGAGTACCATTAATTGATCCTTTGGTGATCTCCTAGGATTGCAAAGCAATACGCAACATTAGGATCAACTGGAACTTCCTTCAGAGCTCCTGCTCCCTTCAGTAGGTAACTGAAGCAACACTGTTATTTAAATTGAAAACCAAAGGAAATCGGAGGTGGATGCTGCCAGAAAGGAGGTACAAAGGAAATCCACGGAGAATATCTGGCTGGATATCTGATCAAATAATATATACAATGGCAGTGTTTTACTTCTGTAGGCAATATTCATTGTTGAGATGCTAGCCACTGCCGCAAATTTTATTTTGGGGGAGTCAGAGCTACAGAAAATATGAATGTGTTTTTGCGTGCTTGTGTTTCAAGTGCTTTTTGGTTGCTTGTTTTTTGTTAATTGTATCTTAAACTCAGATCTGTGAACACTGTAGTATCCTTCCTACATATATATATATAAATATATATATAAAGTTTTTTTAAAAAAATTAGCGTGCGGAAGATTTGAATGTCATGCCATTTCTGCTGATGTTCTGTGATAAACACCCAAGCAGCAGTTAGAATTGTTTCATGCCCAGGTACAATCGTACATCATATTGATATCTGAGCGAGGAAAATATCTATCCTATTCCAGGATTTCCAATTGCAGTTAGTGTCTATCCAGCAATAAATAGTGACCTGGTTAGTATTTTTAACCTGAGTACTCCAGAGTACTCTGTCATTTCATTTCTCAATTCATTTTGTATCCTAGTGCTTTTAAAACATCAAACCCTTTTGTGAATTTTTAAAAGGTGAATTTTTAAATACGGTCTAATTTGAAACCTGGCTAAACAGGGCATTGAAAATAGAAAGATTGGATGTTAGTTACATTATTAATGACACTTGCAGTGCCCTCTGTACACATGTTTACATGTGGCATGTAATAGGCCTCATTGTCCTAAGCAAATAGAGTTATTTAAGACTTAGTCATTAAGGAAGCAAGTGGGCAAGTCATAAAAACTTTTAACATTCCTTGCAACATTGAAGCTTTTATAAAGGATGTTTCACAAGGCATGAATGTGCAAGTAGTTTGAAGAAGTAAGCTTTGGATGCATTTTCCTTGCAAATTCCTCTGGGTCCCACAGATCCCAAGATCTGAAATTTGGTCTTTTTTTAATATTGGAAAAAAAAGTGTGTGCATTGGAGAGCTTAAGTCAATGATTCAGAATTGGCAGATTCTATAATGAAATTCATAATGTGGTTACCAGGCTGAGAACTAGGCATACTTTTATTTTCTTACCCATGTTTACAAAGGGCTTTAATTTGTGGTATTGGGAAACTGGATTTGATGTGCTAATGCGCAAAATTATTCACAAAAACGCTAGTATTGAATCCTGGGAGCTGGCAAAATCCCTACAAAAACTGGAGACAGGGCAAGATGTTTTGTTTTCACTTTCTTTCAGGATCCAAAGTTAGTTTTTTTGTGAATCAAGCAGACTAGACCCTCAATAAACAGTGTTTCTTTCCTGTATGTGAAAGTTGCTAAGTCTGTTCAAAGGAGCAAGATGGCTGACCAACATATGAATTGACACCTATTTTTTTAAAAAGTTTCTGATTTGACAAGGAAAACCTCTAAGTTTACTCTAAACTGACTCTTCATCTTTGAAAAGGAAAAGCAGCATAAGAAATGGGGTTTAATCTGCCCTTCAATACCTTGTAAAAGCAGAGCCAATCACCCATAGGATCCAATTCTTAGGGATGAAATCTCCAGTGGGTTCATTTAAATTTTCAGCAGCAGGAAAATGGTACTTCAGTGACAGCTTGACCCACAGTTAGGTTTCTACTCCACCCCATTTGAGTAATACAAGGACCCCATTTAAGTAATGCATGGACCCTATCAGTTCCATCGGCAATGATCCTTCCAATTCTTGCCAGTATGGCCCTACCAACTTGGTACTGAAGATGGAATTCAGTGGTTGCTGTATCTCTTGTCCCTCTGCTTCACAAAGCTGCACATTTGCACTTTATAAGACTCCCTAGGTGTCTTGTCTGTCTGCAAGTGACTGCTGGGCCTGAGTGGGTACAGATAGTCAATACACATCCGTGCTCTAATATTTGTAACAGTGAACCTCTGAGTAATAGCAGATCGGGGCTCCTCTCCTCTCTGTGAATGAACTATCCTTCACATTTAATTTAAAGCAGACAAAAGTGTGACCTTTTACATATCGGCATTTTATGTATATCAAAAACCCACATTGGTAATTACTTAGACTGGAAAAAATATAGTGGAACTGCTCATTCTGAATCACTCTTTGTTTTGCAATATTGGAACTGACTTGCAATTCACAAGCTCAATGCAATTAGAAAGTGCATCGATCTCGTCTGTTCAATCTTTATTTCAAGATGAGTGAGTGCACTTGATCCTTAACAATGCTTGCCTGTTGATGCTGTGTGAACTGAAGGGTTAGTGTAAAAAGGCATGTTGCACGTTCCACTATTAATCATGCTACTAATTTTATTAGATGAGCTCTATATGGACATGAGATCAGGAACTATTATGACCTAGGCGTCTTGTTATAGTTAATGGGGATAGATACTTGGTGTTCCTTTGAACGGCAAATTTGGTGGCATTTTAGTTTACACAGGCAATGCTGCTGAAAACACAAATGCCTCTCCAAACCTTGCAGTAAGCAATATGGTTGAATGCAATGGAATATCTTCCTGCATCAGTTAAATTGCTCTGATTCTAAGCCTCAAGTCTATGTGTCTGTTGGAAAGGGGAAGGTTAAGAAAGCTTAATCACAAGGCACATAATTCGTATTCTTAACAGAGTGAATGAAAGAGAGGCAAAGACGACAACTAGTTTTTAAAAGCAAAACTAAAGTTTTAACTGGAAGCCGTACTGCAGTTGGGTTCAGCAGGTTTCCCACAGGCAGAATTCCATGTACAATCTGGGGAGGGAGAGAGCATTCTGCTGAACCCAGAGGCATTAGTTCATGTGAAAGCTGATACTTCAGGAAACTTCAAAAGTGTACGTGCATTGGTCAGACTGGAATCTGGTAGGTATTAACTGGCCAATACATGAATGACGAATTAGGTGTGGCTAACCTTTTTGTTCCTTCATCACAGTGAGGAGATCTTGGTTTCCACATTCCCAGTGCTGGGAGTATTGCTGCTGCTTGGTGTGTGTACATAACAGACGAGCATAAACTGCCTAAATTTGACTATAAGCCTGTTTGAAACACTTGAATCCCACAAAGAAGTGTTTGTTTGTGACTGAAGTGCTGCAGGTTGTACTGAGGCTGTCATGATGTCGTACACAGCGACCCTTCCTGTGATCTGAAATGTGACGATATTGAATGTGTGTTGTACCTAATGAGAAACACTTAACTTGCATACCGTAAGGGGTTGTTTCTTTATTTAAAAGTGTATAGACAAATCAGAGTGGCATTGCTTAATCTACATAGAGGTCTTAAAAAAAGATTAGGCAAGAAACGAAAAAATGCAAGCTGCAAGTCACTTTGACATGCTAAACCAAAGTTTCTTGACCTTATTAAATGAAGAAAGCGTGAATATTTCCTTAGTTGGACATTCCCTGTTTACAATGGAAAAGTTCAGAGCTGAGATCAGACTTTCAATAACCCAACCCTGAATCCCAGAGCTTTTTGGGGTGCTGTTTAAAGAACATTAGCAAACATAGAAGCTATTCAGTGCAGGATATTGTTAGTGCACCACACTGAACTATTAAGAGCACATACCAAACATGTCTATAAGACACAAAGATTGGTTTTGTATTTTTGTATATTGTAATGTTATGATCATTATTACTCAAAAGTGTATCTCAGGACAAAGAACTTTACTCAGGGAATATACCAAGTAGGTTTACTTTTATTTACAGATTAGTACTGAAGACATATTCAAAGTACTCTGAACAAACCAAATAGTTTTAGAACTTGGTTACTATATCTATATTTACATACAGTTATTAGGAACTACCTCTGAGTTTTACATAGTCCTACATTTCTGATAATCAGATTTCTGACATTTTTTTGTACTTTTATTATTTCTGTATAAAAATAATGGTAGAGTTGTATTATTGTACTGACTGCTTATGTAAACATCAATCATGTTTTTTGTTATGTGAAGTTAGCATAAGCAAAATTGTACGGTATGTTTAAGATGGTAAAACAAACCATTTTTTTTTCCTGTTTACAGCAAAAGGCTACCTCATCCCTTTTCTGTATAGTTGTACCTTTTTTGTTGCTTTAGTCTTGAGATCAGCTGTCAACCATGTGTTCCAATATAACAGCATTATTTTGCTTGTGGCTGGGTAGCAGACGCAGAAATATTGGGTTCAGTTTGACTGTTTCAAAACTAATACTGCCGATGATTATCACGGCCATCTTCTTTTGAAACACTGCAAACTTTATTTACCCTACTATTGACTCCAGTTGCAGTCATATATTAATTTATGGGGATATCAATTTTCTTAATTTTTGAATTGTAATCTTCCTGCTCCAGTAAGTAGAATGTCCTATGGACCTCTACAATTTACAAGAACCCAAACATAAGGGTATAAGGGTAAGAAAAGAAAAGGGCAAGACCCTGAGTGGTTTTTGACTTTATTAACTTCTGTAGGACCAGGAAATTATTTGGAAGGTTTAGAGTTACCAGGATAGTTCTGGAACTTAGAAGTGCATGGAATTTGCGATCTGCTGCTTTGAAGAAGTTACGAGTGAAGATGGGCTTGCAAAGATTTCCGTTTTATGTATTTATAATGCCTTTCCAAAGATTGAGACATTAAAAACAGTATTGCTTACCTGCTACATTGACAGCCCCTTAAAGACTGCAACAAGATTGTCTTTGTTATCTACAGCAGTAATATTGTGGTTAACCACTAATGTCAAGGGCTTGCTTTTTTGAGAGTGGAATTTTCTGTGTACCAACATATGTATCAGTATGGTCAGTCATATCATTCTAATGGGTTCACAGGGTCCTTCCTCTGTTGTAAACCATTTTCTTCATGAAAACCTCACAGAATGGTGATCTCATCAGAGTTGAGGTCTCTCTGCTTACGCGGAGGTGCTTTTGCCAGAGTCTACGCCTCGGTGACTCGGGGGAGAGCTTATTAGACCCTCATTGCTTTTCATTAGTAGAAATAATAAAAGTTGCAGAAGCTTTCTGCTCAAAAAGGACTCTAGAAGTGACATTCCAAACTGAGTACGTTTGTACCTTATTAGAAGCATAATTGACATTGCATCTCGTGTCCCTTGGATATCAGTTCTGTGCATTTACTTTCTATGGTTCTGTCAAGCACAGCAGTGGGCAACTTC